CTTGGGGCGATATGTGGCGCCTCTTGGGCCGTCTTGGAGCGTCGGGAAGGCGAACAGATGAGAACGCCACAATCAATCCTGCAAAACCGGAGGGAAATCGATGGGTTTTGCCTCCTGGAGCCCTCTTGAGACACTTCTTCGAGGCCTCTTTGGGCGTCTTGGGAGCGTCTGCGGCCATTTGGATACCATCTTGGGCGTCTTGGACCGATCGGTCGGCGACTCGGAGCCCTCGTGGACCGTCTTGGGGACTCCTTGCGGCCCTCTGGGAGCGCTCGGGGACGCCTGAAGGTCAGACCCGGAAGGAAAACCCGCCTCTGGGTAGTACCGGTCGGGGTACTTCTCGTCCTGGGACCCGCCGCTCCGCGCGGGCGAACTAGAAATATTCTTTACCAGTAGCCGGAGACCTTAGCACGCTTTTGGCCCGTTGGGCTGGCGAATGTCCGGAAACGGGCCACCATGAGTTCCTGCACACATGTGATGCAGAAAGCGGCCACCAGTTCTAACAAGAAGCGAAATGTCCCGAATCGGCTTCTTTCGGGGGGAAACTTGTCATGGGGCCTCCCGCCTCTCCCGTCCCTCCGCCTCCTCCCCTCCCCTTCTCTCTCCTTTCCCCTACCCTCCTTGTGATACGTGTGGCAGGGCTAGGTTGTCGTCGTTGTCGGCGTCGTCGTCTTCGTGCGACGACGACGACGACGACCTCCTCTTTCCTCGTCGTGCCCTGGGGACCCCGAACTTTATGACCTCGCGGGTGGTGTTATCAGGGGCACGGGGCTACCTTCCAGCCTCCAGCGTCCGACACCCGGAGATATGGAGCGCAGCGGTCCCGCTGCCCCCTCCCCCCCGGTGCGCGCTCCCCCGAGATCAGGAGGGGAAAAAACACGCAGACACAATTCATGGTCGATTCCCGAGAAAATATTCGCAAATATGGGAAGTGGGGGGGAAGACAAAAACCCAGAAAATATAGGAAAATAGGGGGATCCTGTTATTTGTGTGTATTTATCTGTGTGTCCCAGGGCCCCTTCACGAGAGCCTGGCTGCTCGCGGCCGCAGCCGGCGGCCGGCTTGGAGAGCTGCCGAGCGCCCGCCGAACGGCCGCTGAGGGCAGGTCGGGAGCGGCGCGCTCCGCGCCGTGAGATTGCATGATCTGCTTCAGAGGCTGCCGTCCACTGGGCGCCACTTCGCCATGTTGGCCGCCAGTGCTATTTTGGCCAGGCCGCGTCAATCTGTCCTCGGATCAGCCGCGCTTTGCTACTGACTACTAGTGGTGCATGAGGGTGCTGCTTCGCGATCGTCCCCTCAGCTTTCCTCCTTCTCCAAAATCGCGCTGAAACAATTATATATAAAAAACAAAGATTTGGGGGGGAATTCGTCTGGAGGCGAGTGGCATGTCCTCGAGCGGCGAACGCACGCCGTGCCGCTCCTTCCGACTGTTCAAGAGGTTCGCGCAGACTCGTTGTCAAGAGTCGTGCCACCGTGCCTGGCCCGTGGGTCAGGAGGCTCGGAAATGCACGGGAGGGTCTCCTGCATTCCCCTCAGGGGCCTCGTGGTGGGCTCTTGGGGGCATCTGATTGGCTTTTGAGGGCCTCTCTTTGAGCGTCGAAAGCACGCTGTGCCGCTCTACCGATTACCATTCAGTTACGCTCCATGCTTCTGGTCCTCCTGGAGGGCCGCACCTCAGCAAGAAGTTTGCTGCTGTGGCAAGCGCGCGTTGGGTGCCTGCTCGAATGCAGTTTGGCTCGCGCGTGCCGCGAGCTTACGTTCGACTGTTGGTACAACGCCGCGGAGGAGAGAACACACGTACTCGTTGCCCAGGTGGTACCCTTACCATTCCGTAGGCACTTCCGAGGATGGCCGGATGTCCCGTTCAGTCAAGGAGTATCCCAGATTCTATAGGCTTACGGCACATCCGCCGACCCTTTGATTCATTCTCGGCTCCGCGATGTGCGGTGCTGTTGCTCGCTCACAGGGGAGCAAGACTCGGCTTGTCGGGTCGCTCTTCCACCGTCTTGGGTGGGGTTTGGGGCCACGTGGGTCGTGGTGAAGCCCTATCTGCTTTCATGGCGCGTTTGCCTTGGGCCTGGGGGGCGGGGATCGAATTTCGGATTCGTTGGGGGGGGTACGTGACAATAGGGGGGGAGGAGAATCTCACACGCCTTTCGGCCGGCCCCGCCACCTTGCCTGGGTTGTTGGTATGAAACTTCGGGAATGTCCGTTGGGATCTCGTTGGGGCGCTTCTCGCGAGCTTCGGGGAGCCACGTTCGAAGGCTTTTTGGGGCCGGTTTGGAGTCTGAATTGATCCTGTGGGGAGGTTATTGTTGCTTTTGGGTGGCCGGTGGCAGCCTCTTGGGGCCTATTGGGGGCATCGTTGGGCCTCCTGGGAGCCTCTTCGGGCGGAAAATTGGAATTCTGGGTTCGAGGTCCTCCTCTTGGGCCTCTCTTGGAGCCGTCTTTTGGCGCGCTGGGGCCGTCTTGGGCGCCTCTGGGGCCGTCATGGCGCTCTGTTGGGCCATCTTGGAGCTCTTTTGGGAGTCTCTTGGGCCCTCTTGGGGCGCTCTTGGCGGCCTTGTGGGCCGTTCTCATAGCCGTGAAGGAGGAAGAGTCGTACATGCCAAAAACATACGTTTTTCCGCGGGAATCGGATGATTTTGGCTTCTTGGGCCTCTTCGCTAGCCTGCTGTAGGCGTCTTGGAGCGTCTTGTCGACTTCATGGGCCGTCTTGGGCCCATCTTGGGCGTCTTCAAGCGAGCATTCGGCGATTTCGTGCCCTCTTGGGCCATCTTGGGGGTTTCTTGGGACGCTCCAAGCCGAGCCTGGGGGCCCAGACCGCCCCGGATGAGTTCGGCCCGGGGTTTATTGTTGCTTTTGGGTGGCTGTTGGGAGCCTCTTGGGGCCTATGGGGGGCATCGTTGGGCCTCCCGGGAGCTTCTTCGGGCGGAAAATTTGAATTCTGGGTTCGAGGTCCCCCTCTTGGGCCTCTCTTGGAGCCGTCTTGGGGCACGCTGGGGCCGTCTTGGGCGCCTCTGGGGCCGTCATGGCGCCCTCTTGGGCCATCTTGGGGCTATCTTGGGAGTCTCTTGGGCCCTCCTGGGGTGCTTTTGGCGGCCTCGCTGGCGGTTCTCATCGCCGTGAAGGGGGAAGAGTCGTACATGCCAAGAACATACGTTTTCTCACAGGAATGTGACGATTTTGGCTTCTTGGGCCTCTCTTCGCTAGCCTGTTGGAGGCGTCTTGGAGCGTCTTGGCGGCTTCATGGGCCGTCTTGGGCCCGTCTTGAGCGTCTTTAAGCGGGCATTCGGCGATGTTGTGCTCTCTTGGGCCATCTTGGGGTTGTCTTGGGACGCTCCAAGCCGAGCCTGGGGAGCCCAGACCGCCCCGGATGAGTTCAGTCCGGGGTTTATTGTTGCTTTTGGGTGGCTGTTGGGAGCCTCTTGGGGCCTATGGGGGGCATCGTTGGGCCTCCCGGGAGTTTCTTCGGGCCGAAAATTGGAATTCTGGGTTCGAGGTCCTCCTCTTGGGCCTCTCTTGGAACCGTCTTGGGGCACGCTGGGGCCGTCTTGGGCGCCTCTGGGGCCGTCATGGCGCCCTCTTGGGCCATTTTGGGGCTATCTTGGGAGTCTCTTGGGCCCTCTTGGGGTGCTTTTGGCGGCCTGAAGGGAATTGACGATTTTGGCTTCTTGGGCCTCTCTGCGCTAGCCTGTTGGAGGCGTCTTGGAGCGTCTTGGCGGCTTCATGGGCCGTCTTGGGCCCATCTTGGGCGTCTTCAAGCGAGCATTCGGCGATGTTGTGCTCTCTTGAGCCATCTTGGGGGTCACCGCCGTGAAGGGGGAAGAGGAGTCGTACATGCCAAAAACATACGCTTTCCCGCGGGAATCGGATGATTTTGGCTTCTTGGGCCCCTCTTCGCTAGCCTGTTGTAGGCGTCTTGGAGCGTCTTGTCGACTTCATGGGCCGTCTTGGAGCTTCTTGGGCGTCTTCAAGCGAGCATTCGGCGATTTCGTGCCCTCTTGGGCCATCTTGGGGGTGTCTTGGGACGCTCCAAGCCGAGCCTGGGGAGCCCAGACCGCCTCGGATGAGTTCAGTCTGGGGTCGAAGTGGGCGAGGGGGGGTTCAAATTGCCGGTTTGGGGTTCCCGGGGGGAGGGGCTTATGGGGGGAACGATCTCACACGCTTGGAGACCCACAAGGGGTCGGCGGATTTCTTGGACGTTGTCCTCGGCCTGTTGTGATGCGGTGTTGGGCCCTCCTGCAGCTTACAAAGCTGGTTCGTCGGCGACATTTAACAGGCGATCGTTGTCGAGATCCGATTCTTTACAATTGCAGCAGTGGTCGATTGCATCGGGAACCCCTCGTGCAGGCATGATTAATGGAGTGCTTGTCTTAGAAGCTAACATAATCAGTCCAACCAAACACAATCAGTCCCGAACAACACGCCAAAATCCAGCACATCTATGTGGGCGCATACGCACACACACAATTGCGATTGCAATCGTACCAGTTGCGATTGCGTTGAAGAGGACATGTTCGATTGCCAGCCTGAGGGCGCACGTCAAAGTTACAGGACAAACACGGCATCAACACATCGATGTTTTTTTGCGCTTTGTTTAGCACACAAACTGGTGGTCGCGGTCAGGTCGATGGTGGTGACAACGACGGCGGCGACAATATTGGTGGTAAATGTGGTCAGAGTGATGTTGGTGATGGTGCTTCTGTCAGCATGGTTCGATGATGTCGCTGGTCGCGGCATAATGAATTGGTGCCCCATTTCTTCTCTTGATTTCAGGTCCCTCTTTCCACCCTCATTTTTGTTCCAGGGTGATCTGACCTGCAGGACGTGCGAGTCGCCACGTGAAGAAACCGGCTCACGGGGCCAAGGAGTGGGTTGAGAGGACACCTCCCGAGGGGCTGGGGGGCGGGCGAGTCGTCGAGACGCCAACTCATGTCGGCCCGGAGAGGATCGTCAAGCTGAACGGGGACCACGACGAACTCCCGGCCGCTCTCCAGGCAACAGGGCGGGGAGGGGTGCAGGGGCATCCGGTTGGACGTGAGGAGGGACGTGACTCGCCGAGCGCGTTCCACCATTCGCAAACTGCCTACTCGCAAACGTCCGAGAAAAAACATGTTGACTCGATGTAATGGATCGTAGATCCCCCGCGGCGGATCCAGGCCACTTGCGAGTAGTTTTTTGCGACCAGTGGAACGCGTACCCCGAGTTTCTTAATAAGCGTCGGGGGAGCGCCACCTCCGTCGACAGCCCCACATCGACCCCTGTCGCGGGCAGCCACCGCGCGCCGAAGGCGCTCCGACCCCCGTCGCGGCGCGACGACGTGGCGAGGTTGACCCCCGTTGGGGGGGTACCCCCTCACGCTTCTGAAGCAACCCAGAGTATGTCCAGTGACGGGGAAAGGGGGTGCTACGAACTCTGCTGCTTCAGGAGGGAAAAAAAAAAACACAGACACAATGAATCGACGATCCCCATCAAAATATGGGAAAATATGGGAAGTGGCGGGGAAGACAGAAATACAGAAAGCATAGGAAAATTAAGGGAATATTTTTATTTGTGTGTTTCTATTTGTGCGTCCTGGGGCCCCTTCAGCTGCGAACACTGCTGACGTCGGCCCCGCCGCCGGGCGCTCTTCCGCGGCACGCCGGCGCGCTTGTCTGGTGCCGGGAGGCGCCCGGGAGGCCAGCTGCGTGGGCGGCTTCGTCAGCCCCTTTGCCAGCTCAAGATGGTGGGCTTGTTTTCCACCGTCACCGCCGCAAGTGGGAGGGAGAGGGGGGCCTCCTCCTCTTCCTCCTCCTCCTCTTCCTCCTCCTCATCCTCCTCCTCTTCCTCCTCCTCATCACGTCCTCTGTCTCCTCCTCGCTCTCCCCGACATCCTCCTCGCTCTCCTCGACATCCTCCTCTCCTCGACATCCTCCTCGCTCTCCTCGACATCCTCCTCCTCCTCCTCGCTCTCCTCGACATCTTCCCCCCCTCCACCTTGTGGTGGCGGTGGTGGAAACAGGCCCATCATGAAACATATCCCTATCCCTGCGTTTGGCATCACCTCACCCCGATGCCGATCTTGAGGATTCCTTCACTGTCTGAGGTCGCATCCCTGAGATTGTCATCGCTTTTCGCTCGCCCATCTTAGGGATAGGGAGAAGTTCGAGGCTGGTTCACCCCCTCGTTTCCGCGGGCGACCCGTGTGCACTCGTACCGCGTGATCGTCTCACGATGCGCCGTCGATGCTCGACCCAGGAAGGCTACGAGGCTACGAGGCCTGAGAGTAGCGCACTGATGGATCGTAACGCGCTGGAGCGGGGCCTGGACGGATTGCTCGTATGGGCGCTGCTCTCGTACCTTCTTCTGGTCCGAAGGGGTAGGCAGGACTGCGCGTGGGCAGCCTGGCAGCCCAGGACTCGGCTTCGCCCTGCAGGGGGGAGGGCCGATTCCTGGCGTACCTCCGCCCAGATCTGGCCAGGAGTCACACACTCGGTTCGAGGACCTATTTAGGGCCCACATAACGGCTCTGTTCGACTCTGGTTCGATTCTAGTTCGACTACAGTTCGATCCAAGATCGACTCAGGTTCGACTCAAGTTCGACTCGGGTCGACAGACGTCCTACGCAGCTTCGAAGCACGAGTGGAGCAACTGACTCCAGGAAGGGTCCCAGAATGAGCATCTAACATGAGGTAGCGAGAGGGAGGAGACAGAGGAGATAGGTCGCCCCCGGGGGCGCGAACTGAGCACTGGGCAGAAGTCACATGGCGCAACACTTTTTGAGGCCATCGCGGAATGCTCTGTTCGAGTGGAACAGTATGGTGCCCCTTGTCTGTTCCAGCTCTGCTTTGATTGTTCACTTCATGAGGAAAGCCCCTAGAGGCGTTCCTCGAACGGCAATTCTGGCCATGCGCGAACGCACTACGGTAGGTTCGCGTCGTATCGACCGGCGGCGACCCCGCCGCGGGCGTTCAAGATTGAACGCCGCCAGTGGCCCAGAATCGGCCTATATCAAACGATCGGGCGATCGAAAAGCTGCCGATCGTTCAAGGTTGAACGATCCGCGCGGTGTCAGGAACCAACGCCACGGTCGACACGACGCGAACCTGCCGTATCCACCAGATGGCGTTTGGTAGTTGCTGCTCGTTTCGGACATCAATCCAAGGACCCCTGTACCCAACCCTCAAAGCGAAACCGCGTGTCGCGGCCAGGGCCAGGGCGCCTGCCCTTCTCCAAGGCGGCGGCGCGAGGGTGCGAGGGCCCGACGAGAATCACGCATCGCTGGACGCGTGTGTGTGTGTGTGTGTGTGTGTGTGTGTGTATGTGTGTGTGTGTGTGTGTGCGTGCGTGCGTGCGTGCGTGCGTGCGTGCGTGTGTGTGTGTGTCTGTGTGTGCGTGCACATGTGTACATATGTGTGTACTCATGAATGTGTATGTGTATCGGTATATGTATGTACATATCTGTATGTTTATGTCTGCGGGCATGCTTGTGGGCGTGTTGATGTGCAGGTGTGTAAAGATCTGTCCGTACATTTATATGTGTATATATATAGAGAGAGAGATAGAGAGAGAGAGAGAGAGAAAGAGAGAGAGAGAGACAACAAAAAGAGAGAGGGAGAGAGAGAGGATGGAGAGACAAACTGGCGAGGGAGCAGGTGTGAGACCAGAGGTTGGAAACAGGGACGGCGATGGCGTGTGCTGCCGGCCCCTTGTCCACCGTTTTGTCCTCGCCCTGTCACAATCCCCCGCTTCCCCCCAACCTCGTCCCTCCATTTGTTTCAAGTGCGGTAGGTTCCTGTCGTGCCGACCCGATGGCGCCGCCAGTTGTTCGGAGTCGGCCGCTCGGAAAGCCATGGTCGCTGAAGGTGGAGCGATCCACGCGGTGTCAGAAACCGATGCCGAAGTCGTCACGACGCGAACCTGCCGCACGCCACGCGAGCACGGAGCGACAGCACGCTGTGGATGCCCCTCCTCTGCTCTCATCCTCTCTGTCCTTCTTCTCCTCCCCCCCTTCTCGTTCCCTCCGTTTTTTTTCCCCCTCCGCCTCCCCTTGCTCGTCCCTCTGCAGCGTCGCCTCTCCTCCTGCTCCTGCTCCTGCTTGCTCCTGCTCCTCCTCCTCCTGCTCCTGCTCCTCATCCTCTTCGTCTCCTCCTCCTCCTCCTCCTCCTTCGGGACGTCGGGGATCGTCGAGGAGGGCTCGCGTTGCGACGGCATGCTGCTCGGGATCGTCGAGGCGGAGGCTGGCGGCACGAGCCCGCAGCTCGAGGGGGGCCCCCGGAGGCCGAGCCGCCGTCGGAGGCCAGAGGCCTGCCGGAGGCCGCGGTCGAGGCCGGTGGTCAAAATTGCTGTTTGCAGCGTTTTGGTGCTCGAAGTGCTTGAGGATTCTCCGGCCTCGGTGCTCAAATTTGCCGTTTGGGGCGTTGCGGTCCTCAAAATGCTTCAGCGCCCGGCTCGGGCTGACATTGCTGTTTGCGGCGGTTTGGTGCTCAAAATTGCTGTTTGCAGCGTTGTGGTGCTCAAAATGCTTGATGATCCCGTGCTGCCAACGAGCTGGCGATTTCCAGAGGACCTCGGGCGCGCAGGCGAGCCGCCTCGCCCAAGTGGAGGCGCGAGCACGACGAGCTCGAGGTGAGCGGCAAGAAGAGGAGCAGGCAGTGCGAGCTGGCGCCGTCGGAGGTCGTCGACGGGGGCCCGTGCTACAAGCGGGGGGGGCGGGGCAGGGAGAACGAGTTCGGGACGTGGGAGGTCGCCGAGGAAGGCTCGCGTGACGGCGAATAGCTGGCCTAGGTGAACGAGTTCGCGGCGTTGGTGGTCGTCGATGCGGGCTGGTGTTTCGCGGAGAAGAGGGCGACAAATCATAGTAAGAAGAAAAAAAAGAAAACGAAGAAGATGCAGTGCGGTTTCGTCACGTCGGGGGTCACTGTTGGCACTTGCTGGTGCACTTGCTGGTGCAGGGGCTCGTCGGGCAGGGTTCGGTGTCCGAGTCGGAGTCCTTGCCGTTGCCAGGCTGCTCCGAGGTCCAGTCCGCCGTGCGCAAGGCGTTCGCACGAGTGCGCGAGGGGAGTGGCAAGAGACCGTCGAGGACTGAGTTTTGAAGGGGGCGGGCGGCCGGGGGGCAGGAGCCCCCGCGTTGCCTGCCTTGGTTTTCGCCCTCCCTGCCTCGTGGGGGTTGGGCCAGCGCCAGGGGCGCTCGGCGCTGGCCGGCCTGCTGGCCCACGGGGGGTCTGCCCCTCGTTCGCGGGATGCGAGGGAGCTGCTCGGCTCCATTCTCTCTGTTGTCTCATGTGTCTCATATGCCTCCTCCGCCTCTTACTCCTCCTCCTCCTCATCCTCATCCTCCTCCTCCTCCTCCTCCTCCTCCTCCTCCTCCTCGTTTTGGCGTTAGGTAAACTCTGAGCAAAGCTCGAAGTGCCGTCGTCCTCCACCTCCACCACCTCCACCTCCACCTCCACCTACACCCTCTCCTTCCCCTTCTCCCCCTCCTCCCCCCTCCTCCTCCTCCTCCTCCTCCCCCTCCCCCTTCCTCCTCCTCCTCCTCCTACTCCTCCTCCTCGCGCTGGCTCAGATCGCCTTGCGAGCCAGTGCCTGGTGGCTCCTCGCGCCGCTGCTGCCCCGGCGTCCGTTCCCTCCCCGGGCCCAGGAACAGCACGTGCGCTCCCCTGGCCTGGCCAGGGAAGCGTACCGTTGGCCCTGATTCGTAGGGCGACCCTGCCAGATCAAGTGTACCCATCGGTCGTTGAAAGTAGGTATTTCTGGATTCCCAGATTCCAATCTACTTCAACCGCCTTCCTACTTCCATGATCGAGTGGCTTCACCTTTCCCGTTCTCCCAAGGGGGCGGACGGAACCCAATTTACTTTCAACGCCTTCGTATTTCATGTTTCTACCTACTTCTTCCGACCGGGGGGTAGCCGTGCGTCCTGTGCCTCGCAACCCATGCCGTCGTCCATTCCTGTGGCAACATGGCCCCCGGAAGGGTCTCGTGCCCTCTCGCGTGTCCTCTCCAATCGAGCTTTTGA